CAACACAATTCAGACCATGATTCAATTCAGGCCACCAGCATGTGAGACGAGTAAGAGATTTCATCTTTTCAATGCCGAGATGACCGGAATGTAAGTCATTGAGAACAGCAGTGCGTAATGTCGGAGGTGTGATAATGCGATCGTTGTAGCACAAGACACCATCATACGTCACAGAACTTTCCTCACAACGTTTTTAGAATTCCGGAAATCGACGCTTGATATCACCTAGCCAACCTCGACGGACACAGGAAATGATAGCGTGGTAATATTTCCCAGTCTCGCGAACTAGATCAGATCGACTTACCGGGAGCGGTTGAGTGAGTAGACAATCACCCGTAGAAGCCTCCTCTGAAATGACATAGCGTGATAGATAGTTTGTATGTGGAATGGACTGCGCACTGCGATGATGGATGTCGTAGGAATAAGCGGATAACGCAATACTCCATCGTTGTACCATGGCTGCAGATGACTTAGCCAGGGAACGTTCAGGGTTATAAATGAACTGCAGGGCTTCATGATCACTCACAGTAGTGAAATGAGTACCATAAAGATACTTGTGCATACGCGTGACAGCCCAATAGACAGCTAGAGCTTCTCGTTGAGTTTGGGAATACCCACGTTCGGCAGCCGTGAGTCTGCGTGAGATGCACAGCACCGGATGACCATTCTGCTCCAACACAGCTCCAATTCCAACGGACTATGCGTCCGTGATGACGGTAGAATGTAATCGTGGAGAGAAGGGACGTAAAACAGCACCGGTAGATAAAAAGGAAAGTAACTTCCTCAAGGCACGTTCGTGGACTGAAGTCCACCGAAATGTTTGCTGTGACTGTAAATCAAACAATGGAGCAGCTTGGGTTGAATAGTTAGGGATAAACTTGGAATAGTATTGTAAACAACCAATTAAAGAACGAAGTTCATAGAATGACTTGGGAGATGGAGCATTAGTCAACGAAGAAAATCTATTAGGGTCAGGACGAAATCCGGACTCATCAACCAAATAACCTAAACAAGAAAGTTTAGTCGTAGCAAAGGTACATTTATCAGGGTTAATGGAAACATTATGAGAACGGAATCTCTCAAGCAGAGCACTCAAATGTTCGTCATGTAAGTGTCTGCTAGGCGCATGAACAATAATATCGTCTTGATAGGCACATGCACCTTGTAAGCCAGAAATGATGGAATTAATGGTAGTCTGAAAAATAGCAGGGGAAACACTGAGTCCAAACGGTAGAAAATTGTAGCGAAATAAACCAAAAGGTGTGTTAATAGTCGTGAGTTCACGGGACTTTTCATCAAGAGGAATTAGAAGAAATGCATCTTTCACGTCTAGACTAGAGAAAAATTTGGATTCATGATGTTGGTGCAGAATGTCTTCTGGTTCGACGGTGGCACAACTAGACTGCTTCAGGTATCTGTTCACAGTGAATCGATAATCCCCACTTATCCTAGGAGTCTTCCCGTCACGTTTTAGTGGAGTAACAATTGGCCTGGCTCAAGACGAAGAGTTTACGGGTGTCAGAACTTCCTTGCTTGCCATTTCACTTAACGCCTTTTCTACGGGATCACGAAGTCCAAGTGGGATGATTCGACGTTTCATAAACACCGGTGAACCGGTCACTTCGAGACTCACAGGAGTCATTTTGATACCACCCTTTGCCTTGGAACATTCAAGGACTAAGTGACGAAGGCGTGATTGTTGGGAGTCAGACATTAATGAAAATGACAGATGCATACGAGTCATACAATTCAAACCAATTATAGAAATGTCGGAATCAATAACCAAAAACGGGCAGTGAGATGTTTGTGATTAATCGTCTTTAAGAAGCAGTTCGAATGATCCTAAGACGAGCAAAAAATGACCGGTAATTTCCTTAACTGAAATGTCTGTTGAGTAAAGTGCAACTGGGGGGTTTAACTGACAAAATACCTTTTTGGAAATGGAAGAATCAACACTGCCGGTGTCCATAATGAATGTATGGTGAACGAAGTCATTAATGGTGAAGTCGCGAGTAATATGGCGAGAGGGACGTGAACTGGTACTGGCTAGAGTTAAGGACTGTAAATCACACAATAGATCTTTAGAGGAATGGACAGTCGTACGTATGGTAAGACACGACTTCGCACTTTTACAGACAGATTGGATACGGCCAAACTTACCGCAATTGTGACACTTGGCATTTCGAAATCTACAGGATAGCCGCGAATGTCTTTG